TTTTCCCCTCCAATCCCAATTTTTTCCTTTCCAATCCCAATTTTTTTTCTCCTCCAATCCCAATTTTTTCCCCCTAAATTCCCACTTTTTCCTTTTCCAATCCCACTTTTTCCCCTCCAATCTCACTTTTCCCAATCCCAATCCCACTTTTTTTCCCCACTTTTTCCCCTCCAATCTCACTTTTCCCAATCCCACTTTTTTTCTCCACTTTCTCCCCTCCAATCCCACTTTTCCCCTCCAGTCCCAATTTGCCACATTGTGGAAAAGTGGATTGGAAAAGGGAAAAAATTGGAATTCGAGGGGAAAAAAATTGGGAGTTAGAGGGAAAAAAGAGTGCAAATTTAAGGGGAAAAATTGGGAATTTAGGTGGGAAAAGTGGGATTGGAAGGGAAAAATGGGATTGTAGGGGGGGAAATGGGGAAAAAAAAGTGGGATTGGAGGGGAAAAAATTGGGATTGGAGGGAGAAAATCCCACTTTTCCCTTTTCCAATCCCACATTTCCCTTTTCCAGTCCCATTTTTTTTCCCCTGAGGCACGTGGCTGGGAAATGAGGCAGCTGTGGTTCACCAGCCAGAGCGATTTACATCTGTTTTCACACGGTGCAAGAGCCGTTCGGTGTTGTTCAAAGGGTGAATAACCTGGTGAAGGTCCGGGTTGTTTCAACAGTTCAGCAGGGAGCAAATTGCTGTGTCGGCCACACCCTGCAGCGCGCAGGGCTGTGCTGTTCCTGGGAGAATGAAAAAAAGTCATGAAATGGAGTTCAAAAAAAAAAAACGAAGGAGGAAGGAGATCGGGTGAGATTTCCGTATTCTGACCCTGCCCTCGTGAACGCAGAGGAACTTTGAATCTGTGGTCGAGATAACAAGGACGCCTTTGGTTCTGATGGATGAGCTTTATTGATTGTCAGTGGAGGCATCTTGTGCAGTAATAATGAACTTCGTGATTTAGGAAAAGGGAGCAAAGTCAAGAGAAGCAGCCCACAGTCCAAAGTAAGATATACTTTATTTTCAGAATGTTTATGATGCTGCTTCACAGGCTGTGACACACTGCTGAATAAGTTCTAAGAATGATCAGGAGTTACGTGGAAACCATTTGTTAAACCTTCCCTGTGAATTAGGCTAACTCATTTTTTCCGAACAGTGGCATTTTTGGTTACATTCTTTACTTAAACCTTTCCTCGGGGGCCTCTAATGGGATTTTTGTTACCTGTGAGAGTTATCCCCTCCCCTCTACGTGCCTGCAAGATCTCCCCCCCCGGGGTGGGGAAAATAAATTACCGCCCCTAGAACTTCTCTACTTAGAAACCTCTCAGAATAACTTACTCAGTGGTGCTATAAAAATCGCGCTTGAAGGTTTCGGGTCTCCTGTTTACCTTCACGCAAAGCAGGCAGCTAGAATTCGTGTGTGCTGGTATTTATAGCAGCGCTGGCTCTGCGTGACAGAGCCCAGTTGCTGTGAGGTGCCCAGTGCCAGGGAGTAAAACACTGTTCAAGCTGTCACTTCACCCGCTTGTTCCTCTCCCACGGCACAACAGTCGGTTTTGTTGGCGATGAAATTTGTCCGCGCGTGATAATTAATCTGTCTGTGGGCTTTGAAGTGTGCTGGGTTTCCTCCTTTGTCTGTGCTGCCTTAGAAAGGACTCCTGTTTGTTCTGAGCTGTAAAGAGGATTAAGGAGGCTAATCTAAGTGAAAGTTGGCACACGGGCGCTCAGGGGAAGGACAGCCAGCGCTGTGGGGTCGATGGAAGCCAAAAAGTGACCCTGTGACTTAAATCCAAACCATCACAGTGTTTAGGCGTGTAATCCCAGGGAAAACTGGAGGAAATTTGGCCCTTAAGCAGGTGCTGGGGTCTTCAAGGCCTTTGAGGACATCAGTCCCACCGCTGCAAATTGCTGAGGGCCTCCTGATTTCGCCGAGAGTGGTTCTGCCAGGCTTGCTGGGGCTTACAGAGGGAGGCAAAAGCGTAGGAGATGTGTAATTCTGCAGCTCCCCAGGCATGCTGGCTCGAGGAAATTCTCCCTCCTTTGAGGTGCCGTGCGGGGAACAAGCCGCAATCCCAAATCCGAAGCAGGAGGCAGCTGATGGTCACGGATAAAGGTGATGAATGGGAACACACAGCAAGTGTTGGAAGGAATGGAATGGAACACCATTCCATGTTGCTCTAGACAGATGTTCTGTTCCGCTTGGGACGGGGATTAAATCTTTCCGTGGAGGGTGATGTCATTCCGATTCCTGAGTCAGGTCTGGGCAGAAGTTAAAGCGTCTTTTAAATGTGGTGAGGTGTAACTGCCGTGTAAACAAACAGCTGGAAGCACTTACTGCCACCTGAAAATTCACCCTGCTTAGTGTTGCTGTAACTCCAGATGCACTGACAACCCGGGGTTGCCTATGGACAGGAACCAAATGTCAGTGAACTGATTAAAGGTGGGTTTGCTGTTCTGTGTCGGGAAAGGGTGGTCTTTAAAAAGACATCAGCTGCTGATGGCAACAAATTAGGGGGGTATATAAAGAAAAGGGGAAGGTGCATTTATGTTCACAGAATCAATATTTCTCGCAGTATGTGCAGAAGTGAAACTAAAGAAGATCCTTTGCATTATACAAAAAGAAAAAAAAAAAAAGCGGCATTCAGTTTGTGGGGGGTTTTTTTTTTTCTCATGCCAGTGGTGTTTACTTGGTCGTGTTCTCAGTCGGAAATGCTGGATTATTCAAGCCAGTTTTCTGAAATAAGTATCACTGAAGTGCTCGAAGTGACTGGTACACCCAGCCAAAAAAAAAAAAAACAACAAAAAAACCAACCAACCAAACAAAAAAATCAACAAACCGGCAGAAAGAGGAAAAAGTTGAGGAGTGAACCATCACCTGAAATTTATTTATATTTAGTACTGGAAGAAAAAAATGGTTTGCAAATGACTTGTAACTACTGGCAGAAAAAGGATACTGACCCAGTAGAAAAAAGGACAAATTGAATTCAGTATTTAGTGTCAAATCTATTACCTGGAAGGTCGGCAGAAATACAAATAAGTGCAAAAAAAAAAACCCACCCAAATTTATTTTAGGGTTAAAAACTTAAGATTGTTTCCTGCAAGAAAGTGATTGCAAGTGCTTTTTGCAAAACATGGAAGTTTTGGGGCGTTGCTCTCTTTTTTTTTTGTTTTTTTTCCCCTTGCTTTCTAACTCTTCAAGAATTTTATTACTTCAGGTTGTAGTATGGAATTAGTACAGAAAAGCAGGTGGACTGCTTAAATCAGTGCAGTCAAAACAACTGATATTTAATATGATTTAAGTAAGCAGAGAGGGTAATTATGTAAAAACAGTTATTATTTTAACGATGGGATTTCTTTTCCCCAAAGAGTATTGTATTGCTTAGAAACCACTCAAGTGTGATTAATTACACTAAGAATATATTCTGAATTAGAGACTTTTCATTAATGGCCATGCTTTCTGCAAATGCCTGTGAAAGTGTGTTCACAAATAAGCAGAGGTGAAAATATTTATATTCTAACCTGAATTTATGTCTTTTATCATCAAGTGGGAAAATACTATTTTTTTTTCCTGTGCCTTCGGGAGTTGGACCTCGATGATCTTTGGGGATCCCTTCCAGCTCAGGTTACTCTCTGTGACTTCACTGATTGCAAGAGGCACTTGGAATGTAATTACAAGGCGTAAAACAAACCTTAGAAAGCTTCTTTAGATGTTTTGGGGTTGTTTGGTGGGTTTTTTTTTTGGGGGGGGGGGGTGCCAGTAAGAGTCTGCTTCCAGCGCGGGGAAAATGCGCCCTGTGTTTTTTAATCTGTCTGCTTTTCAGTAAACAAAGGAAATGTTGTTTGGGAGCAGATCTCCTTTCCGTCTCTCCCAGAGCGCTGCAGTCAGCAAGCCCTTCCCTTTCAGGTTCCCCTTTTCCTCACAGGTTGATGTGCACAGCCTTGGCACAGCAGAGGCTTCCCTGGGTTTTCAGCTCCCCCACGGTCGCAGATATTGATTTGATCCTTCGCTGAGCTTGACCCACTTGGACGAGCTGAAATAAGGAAGAGCTTGTCGTTTGCAAACTTAAAAGTGGGGCCAGTTGTTGTGGGAAGCGGGGTCAGCAGTCTGGGACAAGGCTGGCAGTGGATCCTCACTTGGAACAGTGAATATTTTCCAAAGTTGCAGACAGGAGTTCACTGCCCCGTGGAGGTGCCTGTCAGTCTCTACCAGCAAGTACCTCCCTGCAGCCTGCTGTGTGTGCTAACTAAAAAAAACCCTGTTTTATTGAATGCTATCATTAAATAATTCAAATTAAATAAATATTTTTAAATAACAATGAGTTAAAACTCTTCGTCCACCCCGAAACAGAGAACGGGAAATTTTTTGCGGTTTAGCTCTTCCGAAGCTTAATTTGCCACAAGTGAGGCTTTCTGGTAGCAGACAAGTAGATTAGTTCTACCCCTAAGCAAAAACGAAGGATTTGGGTTGAACTGTGGCCTTAACAGAAGCATTAGGGCAACTCAGTAACTTTGGGATCTTGTCTGTGTCAGTGAAAGTAGGTGCAAGAAAGCAGCAAATGGAGCAATTAAGATAAAAATCTGTGTCTGCCAGGAGAAGAAAAAAACCACCGTGGATAGTCAGGAATAAGGGTACTCCCAGAAGTGCCAGAGGAAGAGCTGCTAATTATTTCTCACCTCTCCTTTTCAGGGAATGGCCTTTACCTTACACGAGCGGCAAATGCTTGGGCTGCAAGGACTTCTACCTCCTAAAATAGAGACCCAGGACATCCAAGCCTTACGGTTCCACAAGAATCTGGCAAAAATGACAGACCCCTTGGAGAAGTAAGCAGCTCCTCTGGCCTCGTTCTGTCTTGTCTCTGTTAATGGGAATAAAACGGAAGCTGTAAATGGAAATAACTTGGAAACACTGTGTGGGGATAACCAAAGTTTTCCAGTGCCCCCACTGGGGTTTTTCGGTTGGTGGGGTGTTTTATTTTCACTTTAGCCCAGGAAGCTGCTTTTACCATGTGGCTGGATGAGGTTGGAGAGCTTTTTTTTTTTTTTTTTCCCCCTTTTTTTCCCCCCAGTACTCCACGATCGTGAGATAACAGAAAGGAACGTGTGCAAATTATTATTAACAGAGCTGCAGAACCCTCCTGCAACCTGCAGTGTGTATTTCTGTAATGTGTAAGATTAGGTGGCGGGTTGTCAGAGCACAGAACTCTTGGGGGGGGTGGGTTAGGAAGGGGGAGCTGACACATGCTGGAGAAATATGGATAATGAAGGTAAATTGAGGGTTTGAGGCATGAAAACCTGCGTTTTGCATGTTCAGTAGCTCCTGCTGGAGGGGAATTACGAGCTTAGAATTTTGAGTCTCATCCACTTGTATTTTTTTCCGATCGGCCTTTTGTTGTTTTACCCACTGGTTTGGTGAGCAAAATGCGAAGGACTTTGGTTTGTTTCGTTTTCAGAAAGGCATGTTTTCAGCATCCTCTCCGTCTGCATGTAAAAACACACAGTCTGCTGAAGGGGAGAGGAGAGCTGGGGTGGTCTGAGGCTCACTGGGCCACATCAAAGCCCTTTTTTGTTCTCATGAAAACTGAAAGATGACTCTTAAATCCGCACCATGTCACTTGCTGATCTGAAACATGTCGTGTCCTCTGTGTTGGCCAGGTGCCCAGTGGCTGTGGCCTGAGACGAATTGCTAAGTCATTATCTTTGTGTTGTTGGGTCAGCAGGGCTGAACATAAATCGATACACGGTGAACTGGTGTGTAAGTTTGCAAAAATTCAGGTTTGGTTTACACGCCTAAGGTAAGTCCTTCAAAATGAACCCGCTGTTAGGAGTTAAATTGTTTCAGGTGTGTGTTAGCCTTAAGCAAGGCCTTACTGTCAGGACCTTCAAACGTTTTCTGGATGAAAAGTTCTTTCACTGGTAATTTTGGTTACAGCAGTAATGAGACTCCCAGCTGCGTCCTGCAATAAATCCACGGGTTATCTTTTACCCACACTCTGTGTGTTTGTGCTTTAACTTTTTTAGCCTGCGTGGTATATCACACACAGTATTTTTATTTCAGCATTTTAGGGCTGCTGCTCTCTTGTTTTTTTCCAGCTTTCGTTCGGTGCTCTCAGCCTGACTTGAGTAGGAGCAGGGATTTTACGAAGAAAGTGTTTGGTTTTGGTTTTTTTTTTTGCTTTCACTTTTCTTCACGTGGTTTTAAACGAGCCCGAATACGGAACAGTAAGTGGTGTTTTTCGTTGTTTTGGTTAATTACAGGTACATCTATATAATGGGCATCCAGGAGAGAAATGAAAAACTGTTCTATAGGGTGTTACAGGACGACATTGAACGGCTGATGCCAATTGTGTACACACCAACAGTAGGCCTTGCCTGCTCCCAGTACGGGCACATCTTCAGGAGACCAAAGTAAGAGCTATGTGTGTATGCATATGTGTTTATTGCTGCTGCTTTTATTACAGTTTTATTACCATATGCCTGCCGTGCTGCCAGGAGTCAGCTTTCGGTTGTTCTGACACAGTAAGTACGCTTGGCTGGGATCTGGTTTGGGTTCAGCAGTGGCTGCAAAACAAATATTCGTGTTACCAGCTCTGTGCTGGGTAAACCAGCTCAGGCTGGCTGGTCATTCCAGCTCATTTCCATGGTACTCTCTCTGCAGTTCTGAGTGTGCTTCTGGAGCCCTGTTGCTCCGGGGCTTTGGTGCTGTGTGGAGGAAGGGCTGATCCTTCACTGCTGCTGGGATAAAGGCAGTAAGAAACTCATGGCTGAATGTCTGTAGCAGTGTAAAATCCAGGCAGCATCACGAAAACTGTTCTTACCTTAAGAGTTTCAAAGCAGCCAAGCAGACTTTTGTGTTTTTGTCCTTTGGATGATTTATGCCAGTGACCGTAACGCTTTTAATTTTAAGGAAATTGCCCTGTTTGACACTTGAGTTTTACAAAGCAAGGCGAAATTTCTCATTTTTTTCTTTTTTTTTTTTTTTTTCTT